AACTCTAGGCTCCGAGATGCCATTCGGGATGAAGAGGAGGTGGAGGAGGAGGAGGAGGAGGAGGAGGAGGAGGAGGAGGAGGAGATGGAAGGGAGAAGGAGGAGGCGGATGATGTGCATGAGGGAGCAGGCAGGAGGAGGGGGAGGCCCCAGAGAGCTCCAGGAGGCCGCAGGACGCCCAGGACAGGCCCCAGGGGTCCCCAAGAGATTCCTAGGAGGCTCCAAGGAGGCCCCAGGAGGCCGCCTATCAGAACGTGTCAAGTTAATACGCATCCGGTGTCGATTCGTTGATTATTCCTGCTCTTGTGCCCCCCCCTCCATTTGGAGAGGCCCAAACAGCCACAGGTTTGATATCCACCCTGGGAGCCCCAAGAGGCTTCAGGAAACCCCAGGTGGAGTTCAGGAGGCCACAGGAGGCCCAGGAGGAAGCCCCAGGAGGTCCCCAGGAGGCCCCAGGAGGCACCAGGAGGCCCCCGCAACTCGGAGCTCTGAAACGCCGCGCTCGGGGTGGTCCGGCCCGTTTCGCCTGAGACTTCCTCGCAGCACGTTTGCCCGAGAAATCGTCGCAACTCTGGGGTCCGAGATGCCGCGCGCGAGATGGTCCAGCCCGCGCTGGAGACATCCTCGCAACTCTAGGCTCCGAGATGCCGTTCGGGATGAAGAGGAGGTCGCGGAGGAGGAGGAGGAGAAGGAGAAGGAGATGGAAGGGAGAAGGAGAAGGCGGATGATGTGCATGAGGGAGCAGGCAGGAGGAGGGGGAGGAGGAGGAGGAGGAGGAGGAGGAGGAGGAGGAGGAGGAGGGAGAAGGAAGGGAGTTGCAGGAGAGGACCTAACGGGAAGCGAGTGCGATGTGGACTTGTCAAAACGTGTGCGAAAGATTGCCCGGCCCGTTTCGTTTGAGACATCCTTCCAATACTGAGCTCCAAGATGTCGCTCGCGAGGTGGTCTGGCCCGTTTCGATTGAGCCATCCTCGCAATGCGAGGCTCGAAGATGTTGCGCGCGAGATGGTCTGGCCCATGCTGCCTGAGACGTTTCGTGGCACAGGAGCTCCAATCACAACCTCTCTCATTCCTTCTCCCGCCTCCCTCTTCCCACTTCCCGCCTGGTTCCTCTTCCCTCCTCCCTCCTCCCGCCTCCCGCCTCCCGCTGCTGCGCCTCTGCCTCCGCCACCCCGTCCCCGCCGTCGTCGTTTCTGCCGCCTCAGCATCCGTCATGCGCGCACTGCCTTCCGCCCTCCCCAGACATCCGACGTCACGATTTTTCTTTTGAGACGTGGGCCGCGTACCTCTCGATATCATCCCCGAGGGAACCATCACGACATGCCCCCCCGCTTCCGCGCCCTCCCCCGCTTCCTCTTAAAGTTGCTTCTGAGTTCACAGCATGGCGGTGGAGCCTCTCACAGTGCCGACCCGACAGCTTACTCGTCGACCAGGTGCGACCTGGGACATCCTCGCAACTCCGGGCTCCGAGACAGGGTTCCCCAAACAAAATTTTTCCCCAAACAGCTTGCTGAACGGGGTGCTGTTGTGATAGAAGCTAACTCCGGCCGAGGGAAGTCGGAGCAGAGACATTCTCACACAAATTTGATGGTCCGGGCCGTTTCGCTTGAGACATCCTCACAACTCTCGTTTCTGAGTTGGCCGGGATTGGCCGTTTCGCCTGAGACATCCTCGAAAAATTGCACTCTGGGACGCCGCGCGAGAGGTGGTCCGGGCCGTTTCGCTTGAGACATCCTCGAAACTCTGAGCCCCGAGGTGCCGTGCGAGAGGTGGTCCGGGCCGTTTCGCCTGAGACATCCTCGAAACTCTGAGCTCTGAGATGCCCTGCGCGAGGTGGTCCGGCCCGTTTCGCCTGAGTCATCCTCGAAACTCTGACCTCGGAGATGCCGCGCGAGAGGTGGTCCGGCCCGTTTCGCCTGAGACATCCTCGAACTTCTGAGCTCTGAGATGCCCTGCGCGAGGTGGTCCGGCCCGTCTCGCCTGAGACATCCTCGCAACTCTGAGCTCTGAGATGCCGTGCGCAAGGTGGTCCGGCCTGTTTCGCGCAAGACATTCTCGCAACTCTGAGCTCCCAGATGCCGCGCAAGAGGTGGTCCAGCCTGGGGGCCCAGAAGACCACATGTTACATATCCCCCCTGGGACCCTGGGAGCCCCAGGAGGCCCCAGAGAGCTTCAGGAAGCCGCAGGACGCCCATGACAGGCCCCATGGGTCCACAGGAGATTCCCAAGAGGCTCCCAGGAGGCCCCAGGAGGCCCCCTATCAGAACGTGTCAAGTTAATACACATCCGGCGCCGATTCGTTGATCGGGCCACAAGAGCAGGAAAAATCAACGAATCGGCGCCGGATGTGTATTAACATGACACGTTCTGATAGGGGGCCTCCTAGGGCCTCCTGGGAGCCTCCTGGGAATCTCCTGCGGACCCCTGGGGCCTGTCCTGGGCGTCCTGCGGCTTCCTGAAGCTCTCTGGGGCCTCCTGGGGCTCCCAGGGTCTCAGGGGGATATGTAACATGTGGTCTTCTGGGCCCCCAGACTGGACCACCTCTTGCGCAGCATCTGAGAGCTCAGACTTGCGAGAATGTCTTGTGCAAAACGGGCCGGACCACCTTGCGCACGGCATCTCAGAGCTCAGAGTTGCGAGGATGTCTCAAGCGAGATGGGCCAGGCCACCTCGCGCAGGGCATCTCGGAGCCCAGAGTTGCGAGGATGTCTCCAGCGTGACGGGCTGGACCACCTCGCGCGCGGCATTTCGGACCCCAGAATTGCGACGATGTCTCGGGCGAAACGTGCTGCGAGGGAGTCTCGGGCGAAACGGGCCGGACCACCTCGAGCGCGGCGTCTCAGAACTCCGAGTTGCGGGGGCCTCCTGGGGCCTCCTGGGACCTCCTGGTGACCTCCTGGGGCTTCCTCCTGGGCCTCCTGTGGCCTCCTGGACTCCACCTGGGGCTTCCTGAAGCCTCTTGGGGCCCCCAAGGGGGGATATCTAACATGTGGCCGTCGGGGCCTCCCAAAATGGGGGGCCACAAGAGCAGGACAAATCAACGAATCGACACCGGATGTGTATTAACTTGACGCGTTCTGATTGGGGGCCTCCTGGGGCCTCCTGGGAGCCTCCTGGGAATCTCCTGCGGACCCCTGGGGCCTGTCCTGGGCGTCCTGCGGCTTCCTGAAGCTCTCTGGGGCCTTTCCGCGGGCTCCCAGGGTGGGATATGTAACATGTGGTCTTTTGGGCCCCCAGGTGACCACTCTTGCGCTCCTCTGGGAGCTCAGAATTGCGGAAATGTCTTGTGCGAAAACAGGCCCGGACCACCTTGCGCACGGCATCTCAGAGCTCAGGAGGCTGCCAGTCTCAGGCGGAGACGGACTCACGGACCGGACCACCTATCGCGCAAGGCTGTCTCGGAATGACGCCCCCAGAGTTTTGTTTTTCTTTGCGAGGATTGGTCTCACGCCGAAACGGGGATTATGGACCACCTCGCCGCGCGGCATCTCGGACCCGGGAGTTGCGCGACCGAATGGTCTCGGGCGTCGAAACTTCGCGCGTGATCCTCAGAACGCAGTGCTGCAGAGGGCTGAAGGAGGAAGATCTCAAGCGAAACGGGGACGGACCACCTCGAGCGCGGCGTCTCAGAGCTCCGAGTTGCGTGGGCCTCCTGGGGCCTCCTGGTGACCTCCTGGGGCTTCCTCCTGGGCCTCCTGCGGCCTCGTGGACCCCACCTGGGGCTTCCTGAAGCCTCTTGGGGCTCCCAAGGGGGGACATCTGACATGTGGCCGTCGGGGCCCTCCAAAATGGGGAGAGGCCACAAGAGCAGGACAAATCAACGAATCGACACCGGATGTGTATTAACTTGACGCGTTCTGATAGGGGGCCTCCTGGGGCCTCCTGGGAGCCTCCTGGGAATCTCCTGGGGGCCCCTGGGGCCTGTCCTGGGCGTCGTGCGGCCTCCTGGGGCTCTCTGGGGCCTCCTGGGCTTCCCAGGGCCCCAGGGGGGATATGTAACATGTGGTCTTCTGGGCCCCCAGGCTGGACCACCTCTTGAGGGCCTATTGGTGGGTAAACAGAGTTTGGAATGGATAGAAGAAGGATTGGGGAGAAGGAGGAGGAGGTCGGGGTGCGAGGATGACAGGCATGCTTGGGATCGGAGTTTTTTTTTCTGCGAGAATGTCTCGTGCGAAACAGGCCGGACTACCTTGCGCACGGTATCTCAGAGCTCAGAGTTGCGAGGATGTCTCAGGCGAGACGGGCCGGACCACCTCGCGCAGGGCATCTCAGAGTTCAGAAGTTCGAGGATGTCTCAGGCGGGCTCCCAGGGCCCAGGGCCCCAGGGAGGATATGTAACACGTGGTCTTCTGGGCCCCCAGGCTGGACCACCTCTTGCGCGGCATCTGGGAGCTCAAAGTTTCGAGAATGTCTAGTGCGAACAGGCCAGACCACCTGGCGCACGGCATCTCAGAGCTCAGAGTTGCGAGGGTGTTTCAGGCGAGACGGGCCAGACCACCTCGCGCAGTGCATCTCTGAGCTCAGAAGTTCGAGGATGTCTCAAGCGGGGCCGGACCACCTCTCGCGCGGCATCTCCGAAATCAGAGTTTCGAGGATATCTCAGGCGAAACGGGCCGGACCACCTCGCGCAGGGCATCTCAAAGCTCAGAGTTTCGAGGATGTCTCGGGCGAGACGGCCCGGACCACCTCTCGCACGGCACCTCGGGGCTCAGAGTTTCGAGGGTGCCTCAAGCGAAACGGCCCAGACCACCTCTCGCGCGGCGTCCTGGAGCGCAACTTTTTGAAAACGTCTCAGGCGAAACGGCCAATCCCGGCCAACTCAGAAACGAGAGTTGTGAGGATGTCTCAAGCGAAACGGCCCGGACCATCAAATTTGTGCGAGGATGTCTCTGCTCCGACTTCCCTCGGCCGGAGTTAGCTTCTATCACAACAGCACCCCGTTCAGCAAGCTGTTTGGGAACAAAAGCCTTCGCATTCCTCTCCATGCAGTGCTCGCGAATCCTGCTCCGCATCACCGCGCAGTTCTCCTTGACCTCCTGGCTCGCACCGTCGAGGACCTTCCTGATCTGGAGCGGCGCGTAGCCCAGGATGGTCGCGCACTTCATTATGTCCGAGATCTTCTCCTGGCTAGCCAACTCGCACTGCGTGACCAGACGATCCCAATCGTGAAGGACCTCTGCGAAGCTGCGCCTTGAGTGATCATCGTTCGTCCACCATTTAGGCTGCACAGTCGTGGTCAGCAGACTGTGCTCCGATGTGCCACCCTGAGGTCGATAGTCCGCGTAGATCTGCCTCAATGCCTCAAAACCATTTCCCGCACCAGCAAGCTTCGTCATAGTCTGAGCCTTTCCTCGCATCTTCATGGCCAAGAACGTGCCCAGATTGCGCGACAGTTCGCGCGTCTCCTCGTTCGTGATGCTCTCGAAACTGATGGGGCCGACATGCGTCACCGCCGCATCGTAGAGGTGCCTCCAGCCCATCTCGGTGACCTCTGCCTCCATCGTGAAGAAGTAACTCTCAAACTCATCCCGAACGCCTCCGAACGTATCGTGGGCTCGTATGTCCTTCAGCGCCCACATCTGAGATCTGCCAACAGAGGTAAGCGTTGCCATCGTTGCGCCAGCTGCCTCAGCCAGTCGTCGTTGCTCACTGCGCCTGCTGCCTCAGCCAGGCGCTGCTCACCGCGCCTGCTGCCTCAGCCAGGCGCTGCTCCTCACTGCGCCTGCTGCCTCTGCCAGGCGCTGTCGCTCACCGTGCCTGCTGCCTCAGCTAGGCGCGAGCCGTGGAACGCTGCCGCAGCGAACTCACGGCTCCGCTACCATGTTTTCTCCACGGTGCGTGGGTGAACCTCCGACGCACCCCCTTGTCCGAGCCTGAGCGTCAGCAAAATAACACGCTGCGTTGAGAAAGAAGGACGCTGGAATTTATCACAGATTCTCTACACACCACCACCACAACAAACCACCATTCAACCACCGCCGCAACCACCACCACCGCCACCACCACGACCCACCACCGCCGCCACCACCGTCGTTCTCGTCGACGCTCCCCGGCGCCGCCGCCCGCCGCCGCAGGCGCCGGCGCCGGCCCAGGAAAGGAAATCGCCGCCCCCGCCGCCGCCGCCAGCCGCCGTCGACGCAGGCGCCGGCCCGAGGATACGGAGAGAGTAAAAGTAAGGGAGGGGGAGGGGGTTCGAGCCCCCCACTCCATCCAGGCCAGCGGGGGCTGCGGCTGCCAAAGTGGGGGGGGGGTGGGGTGTGTGTCAACACCATCACCCCCCCCTCCACGCGACCAACGAGCGCGCTCTGTCATAAATCATGTTCCTCATATATAGATATATATATTATATATATATATATATATATAATATATTATATACTAGAACCATCGCGCGCGCTTCGCGCGCGCGTTGGTTCTAGCCGAGATCACGGCAAGGCCCCAGCAGAAGTATCAAGGCAGCCCTTTTTCCCGGAAAGGGCTTGGGCCCAGGGTTCTCTTTTAGCCGTTTACCCCCGGATCTGACGGGTCAAGCGCCGGCGAAATTATTTGCGATAAATAACGAGGTAAAGTGCTGATTTTTTTAGAAAAAGTGCGTTTTGTGCGTGCCCGCTCGAGGAAAGTTCGCCCCCCATCTCGGATCCTCGATAAATAACGGGGTCCGCAGACCCCGCTTTCCCTCGTAAAAAAGAGGGTGCGGAGCGTTTTTCGCAGAATCCTCGAAAAATAACGGGGTCTGGAGCCCCGACCGCGACTCGGAAAAGCGCCCCGCGCGCAGGAATTCCGAGGATGTCTCGCGCGTGCCGCGTCCCGCGCGCAGGAATTTCGAGGATGTCTCGACTAATTCGCTTGTTTTGTCAGGATTTCTTAGAACTCTGGCAGGATGTCTCGAGCGAAACGCTTATTTTACATAGTTTGTGGAGGATGTCTCGAGCGAAACGCTGGTTTCCGCAAAATTTGGAGATGTCTCGAGCGGGGGGCCAGAATTCAGAGGATTCTCCTGGGGACCGCTTGGTGTTCGTGTCCGCTCCGCGGGAATTCCAAGAGGTCTCGCGCGGTGCCGCGTCCCGCGCGCAGGAATTTTGGGCGAAGGATGTTCCTCGACGAATTCGGGGGTTGTCAGGTTTTCTTAGAATTTTGACCGGATGTCTCGAGCGAAACGCTTGTTTTTCATAATTTGTTGAGGATGTCTCGAGCGAAACGCTGGTTTCTGCAAACTTGGGGATGTCTCGAGCGGGGGCCTCGTGGGGGGCCAGAATTCAGAGGATGTCTCAGGCGAAATGTTTGTTGTCACGTCCCGCTCGCAGGAATTCCGGGGATGTCTCGCGCGTGCCGCGTCCCGCGCGCAGGAATTTTGAGGATGTCCCGTAGCGCGTCCCCTTGGCACGGCCTACGGTGAGACCCCATGGCACGTCCCTTGGCACGTCGCCTGGCGCGTCCCTGGGGACGTTTCGCGGCGCGTCCTCCTGGCAAGTTTTGTTGAAGGATGTCTCGAGCGAAACGCTGGTTTTGCAAAATTGGGGGATGTCTCGAGCGGGGGCCTCGTGGGGGGCCAGAATTCAGAGGATATCTCAGGCGCAATGTTTGTTTTCGTGTCCCGCTCGCAGGAATTCCGAGGATGTCTCGCGCGTGCCGCGTCCCGCGCGTAGGAATTCGGATGATTGTGATAGGATGTCTCGAGCGAAACGCTTGTCCCCAGCACGTTCAGTAGCGCGTCCCCTTGGCACGTCCCGCGTTGCGACCCCATGGCACGTCCCCTGGCACGTCGCCTGGCGCATCCCTTGGGACGTTTCGCGGCGCGTCCTCCTGGCATGTTCCCCTTGTCAATTAGCTCTGGGGCAGCTACTATGTGTTCAGGCAGCTCGAGCTTAAGATCCAGATCAGTTCGGTCAGGACTCGGATGCAAAGGAGGACTCGATCCACGACGCTATAGAGCACAACCGCGGCATGGGACATCGCAATTCAGCACGGTGCAGCACAGCACAGACTTCGGCACGGTACATCAAAATCGACACAAACAGCATTGCAACCTGGCACGTTCCTTGGCACGTTCCGTGGGGCGTCCCTTGGCGAATCCCCCTGGCACGTCGCGTGGCGCGTCCCCTGGCACATTCCGTGGCACATCCATTGGCACGTTCCGTAGCGCGTCCCTTTGGCACGTCCTACGGTGCGACCCCATGGCGCGTCCCCTGGCACGTCGCCTGGCGCATCCCTTGGGACGTTTCGCGGCGCGTCCTCCTGGCATGTTCCCCTGTCCATTAGCTCTGGGGCAGCTACTATGTGTTCAGGCAGCTCGAGCTTAAGATCCAGATCAGTTCGGTCAGGACTCGGATGCAAAGGAGGACTCGATCCACGAGGCTATAGAGCACAGTCGCGCCATGGCACATCGCAATTCAGCACGGCGCAGCACAGCACAGCCCTCGGCAGGGTACATCAAGATCGATACACTCAGCATTGCATTTGCCCGTCACCCAATCAGGTGTCTTTGAAAACGCTGCCATGTGTTACAGTTCTATATTCCTTTTCGGATAATTTGTTGAGGATGTCTCGAGCGAAACGCTGGTTTTGCAACATTGGAGGATGTCTCGAGCGGTGGCCTCGTGGGGGGCCAGAATTCAAAGGAAGTCTCAGGCGAAATGCTTGTTTTCACGTCCCGCTCGCAGGAATTCCGAGGATGTCTCGCGCGTGCAGCGTCCCGCGCGTAGGAATTCAGATGATTTTGACAGGATGTCTCGAGCGAAACGCTTGTCCCCAGCACGTTCCGTAGCGCGTCCCCTTGGCACGTCCCGCGGTGCGTCCCCATGGCACGTCCCTTGGCACGTCGCTTGGCGCGTCCCTTGAGACGTTCTGCGTCGCGTCCTCCTGGCATGTTCCCCTGTCCATTAGCTCTGGGGCAGCTACTATGTGTTCAGGCAGCTCGAGCTTAAGATCCAGATCAGTTCGGTCAGGACTCGGATGCAAAGGAGGACTCGATCCACGAGGCTATAGAGCACAATCGCGCCATGGCACATCGCAATTCAGCACGGCGCAGCACAGCACTGATTTCGGCACGGTACATCAAGGTCGATGCACTCAGCATTGCAACTTGGCACGTTCCTTGGCACGTTCCGTGGGGCGTCCTTTGGCGAGTCCCCCTGGCACGTCGCGTCGCGCGTCCCCTGGCACATCCCGTGGCACATCCATTGGCACGTTCCGTAGCGCGTCCCCTTGGCACGTCCCGCGGTGCGACCCCATGGCACGTCCCCTGGCACGTCGCCTGGCGCATCCCTTGGGACGTTTCGCGGCGCGTCCTCCTGGCCTGTTCCCCTGTCCATTAGCTCTGGGGCAGCTACTATGTGTTCAGGCAGCTCGAGCTTAAGATCCAGATCAGTTCGGTCAGGACTCGGATGCAAAGGAGGACTCGATCCACGAGGCTATAGAGCACAGTCGCGCCATGGCACATCGCAATTCAGCACGGCGCAGCACAGCACAGCCCTCGGCAGGGTACATCAAGATCGATACCTTCAGTATTGCATTTGCCCGTCACCCAATCAGGTGTCTTTGAAAACGCTGCCATGTGTTACAGTTCTACATTCCTTTCCGGGTTCGTGGGTCGATCATGTTTTATTTGTATATACATAAATCTATATGTACATATATATATACATACATATACATATTTACATATTTATACATATATATATATATATATACATGTCCACCCTTCTCCTCCTCCTCCTCCTCCTCCTTCTCCTTCTCCTTCTTCTCTTATTCCTCCTCCTTCGTCCTCTTTCTCCTCCTCCTCCTCCTCCTCCTCGCCTGTCTCTTTCCTCCGTTTCCTTAGTTCCCTTCCATCTCCTCCACCACCTCCTCCTCCCTCATTTGCATCTGCTCCTCCTACACGTTCTCCTCCTCCTCCTCCTCTTCCCTCTCCTCCTTCTCCTCCCCCTCCTCCGACCCTCCTCCTCCTCCTCCTCCTCCTCCTCCTCCTCCTCCCCCTTCCCTGGCCCGGGCGCCCCCCGATCCGGGCGCCCTCCCCGGTCCGGATACCCCTGGGAACCGTAGGCCCCGCGACCCTTGAAGTCGACCCCAGGAGCCCTCCGAATCCTTCGGCCCCTGGGCGCTCCTGACCTCTGGGGTCGAAGATCCTCAATCGCGACCCCACGACCCATCGGTTTCCGAGACTCTTCGGCCCCGCGACCCGCGGAGTGACGAGGAGGGGCGCACGGCAGAAGCAAGGGGGAGAGAGGGGGAAGTCGAGGGGGAGCAGGAGGAGGCGGAGGAAAAAGAGGGAGAGGAACAGGATAAGAGGAAGAGCAGCCAGAGGAGGAGGATCAGAGGAAGGAGGAGGAGGGGGAAGGGCCGCCAAGGAGGAATCAGGCGCTCGAGCAAGGGGATGGGACTTATGTTCCCGGGAGTCTTCCTGGGAACACCCTGCGCGACAGGAGGAGGAGCCCGAGAAAGAAGAGGGGGGGAACGAGAAGGAGGATAAGATCGGTGAGGTCGAGAAAGGGAGGCACGCGGAATCATATTCCCGGGAAGCTTCCCGAGAACATATTTCGCGACAGCAGGAGGAGGAACCCGATAAGGAGGAGGAGGACATGAACGAGGGGGGGGGCTAGAGCAGGAGGAGGAA